ATATGTTGATATTCTTGAGGAGGCTTTTCCTTCCAACAGCTAAGAATATTTCCTGAAACAGATCCCTTCTATTCTAGTATAAAAGAAAGAAAGAAAGAAAGAAGAAGAAGAAGAAGAAGAAGAAGAAGAAGAAGAAGAAGAAGAAGAAGAAGAAGAAGAAGAAGAAGAAGAAGAAAATCAGCCCCACCCATACCAGCCGTGTTGTCCATGGTCAGGATACTCAAACCCGTCAGTAACAAGGCCGAGGACGTTGTGACCACTTTACTATATGGTACCTTCCGATCACCTTACCATATTGAAAACCACCCATACTAAAAAAAAAAAAAGAAAAAAAAAGAAAAAAAAAGAACATTGTAAGGCCCGTGCATACACTGTAAGTTAATTCCATCGACTACCAAGAGAGGGCAGACTGGGAGTCGATTGACCAGTCAGCCTGCTAGACGTAACAACCAATGGAAAGCCATGGCTGTCCTATTGCCACGCCTCTAACGGTCACCAACACCATGGAAGGCCTAGCAACTGTCTCATCGAGTGATATTTTTGAAAGACTCAGCCAAGTGTTATAAAATAAATCAACTATGATGAATTTCCCAGAATAACTCTACCTTTCATAGTACAAGTTCTATACACAAAGAGATAATGATAATACGCATCTTCTTCAGGCAAAAATAAAAAAAATATGATATACTTTATTATTTCCTGTATCTTTTAACAATGTGTTTATGAAGTCACACATAACTTGTTACATACATTTTTTTGGAAACAAAACAAAACAAAACAAAACAAAAAAATCAATTTCATGCGAAAGTTAATTGATGTAAACATACATACGAAAGAGAATAATAATTCTTGAAAGGATTGTTTAGTTGCATATTTGCCATCAAAGAAGCTTATAGTAAAACAAATCTAAGAAATCTGTGATATAGCAATACATGCTTATCCTCTTCATTGAGAGAAACTAATGATTCCCTATAATCATGTCTCACGCTGTAACGTTCGATCATGAAGTGGAGCATTCACCAAAATACGGTTGTTTGTCATCTGTCAACTCTATTTACAGTCAATTTATATTTGATTCACGATAATGGTAATGCGTGAAGAACTAAGAAAATACTAGATAATTGAAATTCCCCGGTAATAAATATGGAAAAGGCATGTTACTGTTAAATATAGGTGTTTGTCGACTATGTAATCGGCAAATAAACAGTAGTATATCCGGTTTCAAACAAGCACGAGAGCCCCGGAGCAGTTGTAACTAATAAGGTACTTTACAATGTTTGCCGTCATAACAATGCGGTTAATTTTGTTTCGAGTATGACCTTTGGAGGCCATTGTTACGACATTGTAACGGCTTCGTGGTGAGATACAACATTGTAAACTGTTTTGAGTATCCGGCCATTGTAAACTGTTTTGGGTATCCGGCCATTGTAAACTGTTTTGAGTATCCGGCCATTGTAAACTGTTTTGAGTATCCGGCCATTGTAAACTGTTTTGAGTATCCGGCCATTGTAAACTGTTTTGAGTATCCGGCCATTGTAAACTGTTTTGAGTATCCGGCCATTGTAAACTGTTTTGAGTATCCGGCCATTGTAAACTGTTTTGAGTATCCGGCCATTGTAAACTGTTTTGAGTATCCGGCCATTGTAAACTGTTTTGAGTATCCGGCCATTGTAAACTGTTTTGAGTATCCGGCCATTGTAAACTGTTTTGAGTATCCGGCCATTGTAAACTGTTTTGAGTATCCGGCCATTGTAAACTGTTTTGAGTATCCGGCCATTGTAAACTGTTTTGAGTATCCGGCCATTGTAAACTGTTTTGAGTATCCGTCCATTGTAAACTGTTTTGAGTATCCGGCCATTGTAAACTGTTTTGAGTATCCGTCCATTGTAAACTGCTCTGAGTATCCGGCCATTGTAAACTATTTTGAGTATCCGGCCATTGTAAACTTTTGAGTATCCGGCCATTGTAAACTGTTTTGAGTATCCGGCCATTGTAAACTGTTTTGAGTATCCGGCCATTGTAAACTGTTTTGAGTATCCGGCCATTGTAAACTGTTTTGAGTATCCGGCCATTGTAAACTGTTTTGAGTATCCGGCCATTGTAAACTGTTTGAGTATCCGGCCATTGTAAACTGTTTTGAGTATCCGGCCATTGTAAACTGTTTTGAGTATCCGGCCATTGTAAACTGTTTTGAGTATCCGGCCATTGTAAACTGTTTTGAGTATCCGGCCATTGTAAACTGTTTTGAGTATCCGGCCATTGTAAACTGTTTTGAGTATCCGGCCATTGTAAACTGTTTTGATTATCCGGCCACAGGACTGTTTCGTAAATACGCCGACATCACACTACTGCCATAGCCACCCAGACCGGATCTCAACCCAAATGAAAAAAATGTGCGCGGCCGTGTTAAAATAGACGCGGCAAATCACTGAATAATGCCTTGGGAGTATGGGAACGTTTTTGGTGTGAGGAAGGCCGTGCTTTGACAGCCAGTTAGTGGCACTGTGCCTTAAGGGGGAGGGAACACAAAATATCAAACTTGAATATATTAAGAGTATCTTATTTTCCTTGTTTTGATCATATTGGATTGCCAATACTCATTAAGTAATAATAATAGCAAAAAGGGGTGTGAGTAATCTAACAATACCTTCTATCGTATTATGACGATTGACCCACAACTAACAAAAGTATAAGAAAGCTAATTGATTAGTTTATTAAAGTATTATGCAATATTATAAATAACTTGCGAATTTATAGCCTTTTACTTCGTGATTTATCCCACATACCCAAGAGTGGTTGGAAAATCAGGGGTACCAACCTTTTCCTATCGTTAACAGCTATATTTAAAAAAATATCGTTGTTTGTGTCAGAATGTTTAGCATGATTTTCTAACGATAGTTTACTGTGTAGGCGTACGCGCGCGCCCGCGCGCGCGTGTGTGTGTAAATGTATATATACACGCACATATATGTATACATCTATATAGCTAGATAGATATATAAATAAATACACATACATACATATAGTAAAGAGACTTTGCGATTCACTTACACCATGGCAACAGGAGCGCCTGCTGGCAATCCCAACGCCATGGTAAGCGCCGAGTGTCACATAATAAAATGAACCAGCCCTAAAAAGCTGACACAGGCCGGGCCATAGCCAAAGGCCCGGGCGAAGCTAGAACTTCGCAAATCGCAATAGTAATAGCATACATATATAAATGTGTGTGTATGTGTGCGCGCTCGCGTGTGCATATATATATATATTTATATATACATGTACATATATGTATGTATATATATATACATATCAACATATATGGCACACACACATATATGTGTATAATCATGATTATGTGTGTGTGTATCTATATGTGTGTGTCTAGTGCATATGCTCACAAGTATAAATAAGCAGTTTTTGACAATTAAGGCAATTATTGGAGCACTATGCCACGTCGAGGTTACATTAAATTGTATCGGATCCACTAAGGACACTAATACAATCGAGAAGCAATTTTGCTTTTAACCCCCGATTTTTCTTTTCCAGGTACGATTTATTTTCTATATTGGAACTATTTAATCTTTTAGGATCATTTTTTGAAAATACAATTCTATTTAGAATCATTTGAAATATCCCAGATTCACAGCGCATTAATTTCGCCTTGATTTATCTTCCCATAAATTTCTAAGACAATATTTTGGAAAATTAATTAGGAAGAATTATTTGCAATTTGAGATACCATATTCTTACAGAAATAAGTATGGTTTATAATTTCTCTTAGAACTAGTGTTGGTAATTTACTTCACACACGAGCGAATGCACGCACACACACACACACAACACAACAAAACACAACACACACACACACACACACACACAGAAGCACACACACACAAACGCATATGTAAAAAGTGTGTTTAAGATATTTGAGCTGTAATGATACACTTATTATTTCACCCTTTTCTTATTATCTTCATTTTCAAATATTTACTCAAAGCACATACACATAATATTGGGCTTAAATCACTATAAACATAGGCATTCATATATAAACATTTATCATCTATAAACTATAGTAATTCTTTCCAGGCATTCATGTGATTTTGTACAATAAGATAAACGCAAGGATTTCCTGTTACATCAGTTTTTACCACAAATCGGTAAGGTCTCTGCCACAAAACCATCAGATTTGATGCATTTCCTAAGGCATCTATGGGCACTTGTTTAAACGTTAAATTCATATTGGATTTGGAAAACATGGCGTAGCTTGTAACCGCAGACGCACATCTGCATTATGTTTGGCGGTATATAGCAATAAAAAATAGAATTTTCAGTATCCTTTCTTTGTTATTTTATGTCTAAATACCATATGGCGGTATATAGCAATAAAAGATAGAATATAGGTTTATTATTTAGTGGAGAGAATTGTGATTATGCTTGCTCTTTATCATCTTTTTCAGTATTCTTTCTTAGGAGATAGCCATTTAAAGACTATTGTGGATCAGCATATCACGGTTACCATCATTACGGCAAATGGTTCGAATGCGACGCTCGAGCTCAGATTTCGGCGTTTCTTTTATTTCGTAATTGATGTTTGTCGTTGAATCACGTTGTAAAAAATGTATATAAGATTGTAATATAAGTAATAGTTTTGTACAATGTAAGCGATTTGCATATGTTGCTATGGTTATTTAGGAAATCACATACATTTGGATCCGAAGTCAAGGAGCTATCCTAACATTCGCACCCTTTGCCGTAATAGTGGAAACTTTGCAACATACTGTACAGACACATAGTCATATACGCATTGACATATGTTCATGTGTATACGATTATTCATCTGATATGTACATACACAATTACTCATTATGAAAGGAATTGGTATTGCAATAAAAACGTCTCAATAAGGTGTACCTCTCCAAGCTTTTGCAAGGTCTCATCGGAAAACAACGAATGCGTAAGTGACCAGTGTCCTATATAAGATCTGATTCGCTGTTGCGGGTACATAGTGTTCGCTTCCTTTGCTGAGTACACAGGAGAAACAGTCTCAAAATGAAGCTGGTGAGTACATATACAAGAAAAAAAAACTTATATAATATACATATTTGATATATATATAATACACACACATATATATATATATAATGTGTATTAGTGTGTGTGGGTCTGTAAGTCTATAACATACAGAGGAACACACACATATACATACATACACACACACACATACGTACATAAAGTTATGGATATGTGTTCATCAATTTATCAATAATTACGTTGATCGGTGATAACAAAGATAACATTACCTGCCTTTACCCTACTTTGGGACAAATACAACCATATGTGAATTTCTCATCAACTTAAAACTACATAAAACTATTCTGTTGGATCTGTTCATGGCTGCAGCTGTCGATGGTTCTGGCCGTAGCGGTGGCTCTGTCTTGCCTGGTGAGCTGGAGCAGTGCCATGCCTGAGCCTGGCCCTGCAGCTGACCCCAAGCCCGAAGCTGGACCTGGCCCCGGCTGATCTACATCTGTTACATCTTTATCGTGTGCATACAGATAACATGCACAAGATTTCTCCGCTAGTCCTTCTTCTAGGTGACTCTTTCGGTGCGATGTACCTAACAGTAATAACATGTACAAAGAGAGAAGAAAACAGGTAAACTAGTGATTAAATTGCATGAGATTTATTGTAAAAAGAATCACTGACTTTGAAGATCTCGGCCATGCTAATTTGCTGACTTATTTAGTCGGTTGGGCTGACCAGATTGTTATGTATCACACACACATATACATACATACACACACACACGTACATAAAGTTATGGATATGTGTTCATCAATTTGTCAATAATTACGTTGATCGGTGATAACAAAGATAACATTACCTGCCTTTACCCTACTTTGGGACAAAGACAACCATGTGTGAATTTCTCATCAACTTAAAACTACATAAAACTATTCTGTTGGATCTGTTCATGGCTGCAGCTGTCGATGGTTCTGGCCGTAGCGGTGGCTCTGTCAGCTGACCCCAAACCCGAAGCTGTCTCTGGCCCCGTGGCTGACCCCGACCCCCTCGCTGTCTCTGGCCCCTTGACTGTCCCTGACCCTGTGGCTATCCCTAGCTACAGTCCCTACGATGGATTCGGATATGGTGGATACAACTACGGCAGTCCTATATACAGCTACGGAAGTCGTGGATACAGATACGTTCCTGGATACGGCTACGGCGGCTACGGATACGGTGGATATCGCGGTGGCTATTACGGATAAACAAAACCATGATGCCGGACCGTTACTTACCTACTTACCGCTCTTACCGTAGAATCTCTTCCAGTAGTTGGTCTCAAATAAACTATATGAATGAAGATCTAGAACTATTATTGTCATCGCCATAAATAATCCTAAATCTACATCTGTTACATCTTTATCGTGTGCATACAGATAACATGCACAAGATTTCTCCGCTAGTCCTTCTTCTAGGTGACTCTTTCGGTGCGATGTACCTAACAGTAATAACATGTACAAAGAGAGAAGAAAACAGGTAAACTAGTGATTAAATTGCATGAGATTTATTGTAAAAAGAATCACTGACTTTGAAGATCTCGGCCATGCTAATTTGCTGACTTATTTAGTCGGTTGGGCTGACCAGATTGTTATGTATCACACACACATATACATATATATACACAAATGAATAAATATAGTTTATGTATCAATGTATTAATACATATATATACGCACACACACATGTATAAATAAATATTCACATTTTTGAGAGAGAAATAGAGAGAGAGAGAGAGAGAGAAAGAGAGAGAGAGAGAGAGAGAGAGAGAGAGAGAGAGAGAGAGAGAGAGAGAGAGACGCTGCTAGAATGCTGTCCGATAACTTCTAGGAGCTTCAGTCACCTTGAATTGCCCTTTGCTCCTCAGCTCAGTATATAAGAGCAGATTCCTTGCTGAAAATTCACAATTTTTTCTAGCTTCGTCCAGAACACAGCAAGAACATACTCTCAAATATGAAACTAGTGAGTACGTTTGAAAGATACATTGTTTAGCTACGAATCTGTATATTGGTATTTAGAATATTGTTGCGCTAAACTTTATAATCTTTTCATTATTTGCCATACTTTACATACGTCTTTAGATGTCTTGGTCTGGATAGATGAAAGAGATTGGGTCAGAAGATAATCAATTGTAAGGATTAGTCAATGTTCATTAGTACAGTTTTAGCATTTTGGGAGAGTATTGCGACTACCATCCTTCTGTGTTTATCTTCATGTGCATATTTAACACAAAGGCACACTCCACACTCTTACCTACTCAGCTGCACTCAGCTATTTCTGGAGTTATAATATAAAGGGGTATATATGGAATATAGAATACTCGAAAACATTTGCATTTCAGAAGCGAGTGATGGTGTGTTAATGCTGCGTCTAGTCTTCGTCGTAAATAAAAAAAAGATATATTTATATACTAGTTAGGATGCATATTAGATAACATTCTCCACATTTAGCAATGCATAGTAATGGATGTAGTAATTAACACGCAAAGCATGGAAGAGGTAAAATTTTCACATTATCATAATCATTTGAGAGTTGCATATCATCAATAGTTTGTTCACTGATGATAATAAACCAAAAGGAAACCTAGTTATATTGACACAGCTAACCTCTTACACGTTAATCTAATCGTTCAGATGCACAGTGCAATCAAGCAAAGTCACTGTCACATGCACAGTAACGCATAGGGAGGATGCTAGGATTCTCAACGTTCCCTTAGCTGTTCGTAATTTTAAATAATCAATCATTCCCCTCGTAAATTGTCAGCCACTTTATGTAGTTTTGAGAAAGTGTTCTACCATCTACTGCCGTCATATCAGCTGTATGTTAATAGAGAAGCAAGTTTTATATTGGCCAAGAAGATATAGTAGGATGAGATAACATAATTCTGAAATATGGTTAAAGAAGCGATACGCTATAAATTTTAGCACTATTCAGTTCCTTATATCTGTTCTGCTATTTATAACATGTAGGCCGTGACAATACACCAGTAATAATTTATTGTAAATGTTGCTGAAATATCTATCAAAGCACTATGAAGCCTGAATTATTAGTCAAGAATAATCATATGTTTTTTTTTCTATTTCAGGGAAGCTATATTGCTTAGTATATGGCAAGCATAATAATTTCCATGACTTATTTCCTTCACCCCTTCACGTACACAGGTCTCGATGGTTGTGGCCCTGGTGGTGGCCCTGGCACTCTGGTGAGCTTTTCGCATCGAATGAAACCTTCATAGCTCCTTCATTTTCTCCTAAAATTCATCCACTAATTGTTGAAGTCTATTAATCTTATTCATGTTAGATATGGTTATGTATCACGTTAACGGCTCAGATTTAAGGTTAATAGCTCCATTTATTAACGGTTTTCATTAATATTTAATACTTCAGAGCTAGCACCGTATTTAAAAATAACTTGAAATTTCAGTGACTTCTTAAGATGCAGATGAACAGATAGAAAGAATTAACTATTCTAACTTCAAAGTAAAGCTTAGAAATATTAGATATATACACGTCTCTTTCGTATATCAATAGCTAATGTTACTGGTTTTACAGAAAATGATAACATGGCATATATCTATCAATACCTACAGTATATTAAACACCTATCTGTTTACACACGTACACACAAGGCCAGTAAAAGTGTGAATACTTGGAAAACACATACGGAGATAAAGCATTACCCGCCTATTTAATTATAGATAGTTCTTATACTGTTAAAATGTACCCTTACAGCTCAACTCAGCCCTGAACTAAACAGAGCAAATCAAGAGTGATTTTGTTACCGCTGTCGAGAAAGGGCTGCTCTGCGGGAAATGGTTCAGTGAAACCACCATTGATTTTTAGGCTCCTGTATTTTTAAAAATAAAATTAATCAGAATTGCCAATTGTGACTATCCTTAGATAACGAGGGTGTGTGTGTACATACCCATAACACACACAAGTGTCTGTTTATATATATAAATGTGTGTGTCTGTTTATATATATAAATGTGTGTATCTGTGTATGTGTATGTCTGTATGCATGTGATTCTGTATGTATATGTATCCATGATGTGTGTTTATATTAGCATATATATGTGTATTTGAATACAAAAACATACATATATATATATATATTTATATTTATTTATATATGTTTATATATATATATATATATATATATATATATATATATATATGCACATGCATGCCTATATGCAGCAGATATGTATCTATGTTTTATGTACATCATATATGATCTATAGAGTATAAAAATGTATGTGTGTGCAATGGTTAGTGTATGTGGTAATATGAACAATGTGGGCGTACAGTGAATGTGTACGTGTATGATCACATCTTCCTGTGTATGTGAATAGGTCTCATATTGAATTTAGTTTGAACAGCACATGCAGTAAATAGGGCAATTGATGAGGAAAAAAATATTGGGTTGGTGCATGTACAAAACCCGTTGGCTTGTGTTAAATGTTCATGAAAAGAATTTCTTTGTTCCAAGTACAAAAGCTGAAAAGATTCACATACACACATACATATACAGTACATGTACACACACACATATGCAACCGCATATATACACATATATATGTATATATACACACACATATATATATATATGTATATATAGACATATATGTATATATATGTATATATACATATATATGTATATATATGTATATATATACACATATATATGTATATATATGTATATATATAGACACATATGTATGTATATATATAAACACATTATGTCCATATATATGGATGTATGTATATACATATAAATGTATATGAATATATATATATATACATATATATATATATATATATATATATATATATATATATATGTATATGTATATCATTAGATATATTCCAGTATTATAGGTCTGATGGGGTTAAAAAAAGTAATTACAATAATAAGCAAATATTCATTATTCTATC